GACTCTCCAATCTGTCCTGGGCTTCAAAACCACTTTACCATTCCACAGTTGGTGAGGCACTATTCCAGGATGTTTGCAGGGGAATTTGGGAGAGCTCAGGCAAGTTTTTGTCTCACTCCACCATTTTCCATTGCCTTTTTCAGATGAATATTCTTAAGATATAGACCCAACTATATTACTCTCCTGTTAAAAAATGTTCTGTTGCCTCCAGGATAAATACAGTATCCTCAATCAGGGATATAAAGCCCTCCATAGTCTACCTTCCTTCTACCACTTAATAAGAAGCAGCATCATGCAGTGGATAGTGTTGTCATTGGAGTCAGGAAGACCTGGCTTCCAATCCCACTAGCTTTGTGACCCTGGGCAAATTTCCAGGTTTCACTTTCCTCACCTGTAAAGTAAGGGAGTTAGACTTAATGCTTTCAGAGGTCTCTGCCAGCTCAGAATGAATGATACTAAGGTGATTAAGTGAAAAAAAAATTTATTAAGTGCTTTCTGTGTACAGAGCACTGTGTTAAGTGTAGGGATATGAATAGAAAAGCAACACAGGAACTCACCTAATGGAGGGAAAAAAATATATATAGATGATCCTTAGGGCAGCAAAGCAGAGGTAATCCATCTTCTTTAATGTTGTTTGCAATGATAAAAATAGTATCACTTTTTGTTGTTGAGTCATTTCATAATGCTAAAGGACTTTTGTGGGGAAAACTTTCTTCTCCTGGTTATCAGGAGCTATGGCTGACCATTAAAGTGATATAACTCCCAGCAGGGCTTAACAATATCGTAATTGTATGCAACTTTTCCAGACATATGTCAAATACTCCCATTCCAGTCAAAACAGCCTAATGTTGTTCCTCATACTTGAAATTTCATTTCCTACCTCCATGCTTTTGAAAGGCATGCTTGGAGGGCCCTCCGTCCTTCCACTTATTATACCTTCTCAGTGAAGTATTCCATTTCCCATCTTCCCATCCCAATCTGTTAGTGCTCTCTCCTTTGTCAGAGTATCTTTTATCTAACTCATCTCATGTTTTATACCTCCAAAAGAATGATAACTTCTTGGGAGCAGTGATTATTTTTCATTTTTGTCTTTGTTTCCTCATTGCCAAGCACAGTGCCTGATGTGTAGTAAGCTTTTAATAAATGTTTGTTGAGTTGAATTGCATTCCTAAGAGAGTATTGTAGTTAAAAATATGTGCTTATGCAGCAGGGAGAAGTTTGACTGAAAAAAAAATTGAAATTTTCCAAATGTAAGCCATCCCACTTCCTCTTCCTTTTTATGTCTTGGCCCAGCTTATCATCCATCTGCAGTGTCTTTCAAAGATGTATGTACTGATAGACAAACTCAATGAATTGCCCCTTAACTGCAACTCATAATCTAGGTCAGATGTCTTTATCTCTGTGGTTTTTTCCTGTGTGGATTGATGTGCCTATCATCTGTGAGAGGCTGTGGGATCTCATTAAAGAGGCATCCACGTATTTTAGGGATGATGTCAGTAGAAGAGGTTAAAAATCACATAGTTTTTCAACCTGACTCACTGAAAAAAAGGTATTTTTTTCTAAATTTATTTGTTTTGTTCTGAACTGAAACACTGAATAAAATGAACATTTCATATACAATATAGTAACAGGTAAAATGCATATAGCTCTTTAATGTTTATAAAGAAATTTACATATATTTCATTTGGTCCTCACAACAACCCTCTAAGGTAGGTGCTGACATTTATTTTCTTTTCTGTAGATCAGAGGCCGAGAGGTTAAATGATTTTCCCAGGGGTTATATAGCTAGTAAGTATTTGAGGCTGGATTTGAACTCAGATCTTCTGGACATCCAAGCCCAGCACTAACCATTGTGCTACCAGGCTGCCTAGAGAACAGAAAAGGGGGATTGTACATGATGATACTATGAATCTGTTATGTACAACTTGCTTTGCCTTTTAAGTATTGGTACGTGATCCTACATATCTTTGCAATAAAACTCACTTCCTAAGTATTAAGTACGTAATAAATTAAACATGTGACTTTCACAACTGTCCCACACATCTGTACTTGCTTCTGGCCTTCTCTCTGATCTCTTCTGTGAATTTTTGGAAGATGCTTCAGTGACCCAAGAAAGAGTGTTTTATGATAGCAGCAGTTGTTTACCAGAGTCTTAAAACTGACATTTACCTGCAGATGAGGGACACTTATAAGACAAGTAACATTTCAGTATTTGCCAGGTAGAGGAGGGAGGACCAAGACAAAAATCAGAGGGGAAAAAAACAGACTATGATGCTTATGACCATCTACAAATGTTTATGTACCTGTCCCAACTAATGACAACTGAGTCATGTGGATAGATGTTCACATTTTTCTTGCAAAATAAACTGGAAGAACTAAAAAAATTATAACTGAATAGAAGAATGACTCACAAGCATGTTTAATAAATATCTATTGACTGACTGACTTAGAGGGGCAGCTATGTTAATTTCATTATGCATCAAATTTATAAGTATGTAAATAAGACCTAAAAGTATCCCATATTGGGCAGTTTCAAAGTGGAATTTCTTTTTTTTACTGTTTTTTTTTTGTAAGTTTTATTTTTTCTGCTTAACACACATTTTTATCTCTTGCTTTCTCTCCCCTAGCACCCATAAACAACAACAAAAGAAAACCTTCAACAAATATGCATAGTCAATCAAAACAAATTCCCTTATTGGTCATCTCCAAAAATGTATGTCTTATTTTCTTTCAATGTTGTTTTTCTTTATGATGTTGTCCTTGTGTATGTTCTGGTTCTGCTTGTATCAGTTCATAGTGCTCTTCTGTTTTCCTCTGAAATTGTCCATTTCATTATTTCTTAGGGTGCAGTAATATTCTATGACATTTATATACCGTAGTTTGTTTAGCCGTTCCCCAGTAAGGAGAATATCTCTCAGTTTTCAATTTTTGGCTGCCATGAAGAGAGCTGCTATAACTATTTTTGTAAATATAGATTCTTTATTTTTCTTTTATTTCTTTAGGGTAATGTAGGCCTCGTGGTGAGTGGTATTACTAGGTCAAAGGTATGCACCGTTAGTATGGTGCATAGTTCCAGGTTGCTTTCCTGAATAACTGGACTAATGACTAGACACACAGCTTCACCAACGGAATATTAATGGCCTTTTTTCCTGCAACCTCTCCCACATTGGTCATTTTCCTCTTTTGTCATCTTTGCCAGTCTGTTAGATGTGCACTGGAACCTCAGAGTTACTTTAATGTGCATTTCTCTAAATATTAGTGGGTTTTGTTTTTTATTTAATATAGTTGTTAATAGCTTTGATTTCTTCCTTTGCAAAGTCCTTGACTATTCATCAACTGGACTGCTCATTTATCAACATAGATTTTGCTTATTCTTACATATTTGAATCTTCAGTGAAACCTTTATCAGAGAAATTTACCGGGAAGACTTTCACCCCAGTTACCTGTCTCCATTCTGATTTTGGTTTTGTTTCTGAAAAAAAGTTTTAATTTTATGTAATTGGTCATGAGCTCTTCTCCTATCCATATATCTGAAAGGTAGTTTATTCCTTGCTTCTCTGATTTGGTCATGATGTCATCTTTTATATCTGTTAGGAGTTTACTGTGATGTATAGTACCTGATGTCTACTAGACTGCTTTCCAGTTTTCCTAGCAGTTTTTGTCAAAGCGTGAATATTTACTCTAGGAAGTAGGGTCTTATCAAACAGTAGATTATGATTTTTGTTTACTTCTCTTTGTTGTGTGCTTCATCTGTTCCCCTGATCAACTTCTTTATTTTTTATTTAGTAGTGTAGCCCCTTTCCTACTTTTTTTCATTACTTCCCATGAGATTCTTGATGTTCTCTTCTTTCAGATTAATTTTTAAAATTTCTTTTATTTCTATATAGTAGTTCTTTGGTATAGCACTGAATATATATATATACATATACATATACATATATACATATCTGTGTGTGTGTATATATATTATATATATTTTATATATATAATATATATATATAGCTAATATTGTCAGTTTTATTGTATTGGCACTACCTATCCATGAGCAATTAAATTTTTCCAAGTATTCAGGTCAATCTTTATTTTTATAAAGAGTGTTTTGTAGTTGAATTCATATAGTTCCTGGGTGTGTCTTGGTAAATAGAGTCCCAAATATTTTACATATTCTGTTATTACTTTCCATGAAATTTTCATTTCTAGCACCTCCTGCTTGGTTTTGTTGGTAATGTGCCAGTAATTTACATGGATTTATTTTATATTTTTCAACTTTGCTGAATTTGTTTTGATCCTGCAATTTTAGGTTTTTGTTCTTTGAATATGGAAAGATTGTGTTTATTGCTATTTCATAGTAAAGTTCATAATAAAAAAGAAAGTTTTTTTTAACACCTGGAAGGAGAGAAGGAGGCACATGGAAGGAAATGATCCTGCCCCAGTAGTGGGACTAGTCAGAACAAATGGTGCTGATTTAGTTGGAATAATGAAACTAAAGCCTAACAAACGCAACATTGGCCAACGGTTTAATATCTTGTAATGAGAATTGTCGTTTTGGAAAGGGGTTAGGAATGGGATAAAAGAAAAAAAGTTGGCCATCTGACAATCATGAAATCACTTCAGTTCATGGAGTGACTTGTTAAACATGTACTGTGTCCCAAGGACTGTACTAGATGCTAAGAACACAAAGATAAAAACAAGCAGCCCCAGTCCTCAAGGAGTTACATTGTACAGGTAAGAAATAACACATACACAATTGTACATACAAAGTATTTTTTACAGTATTTCAGGGGATAGAGAATATTTGCAACTGGTTTTTGGGTAGAAGATGAGTTTTGCAGGGATTTGAAGAGACTGAGATAAAAGTAGAGTGTTTCAGGCATAGGGGAACAATTTGTACAAAGGCACACAAGTGGGAGATAGAAAGTTGTGTATGAGGAGCAGCAAAAAATATGAAAATAGATGATGCTCTTCTCCCTTCCTAACAAATCTTTGTTTTTCTGCCCTAGGTGAAAGATGTCAGTGTACCTCACTCGACGGAGCTCAGACTTCTAAAAGGCAATCACTTTAACCTAATGACTTCCCAGAACATTCCCAAAGGCAAAATTTCTGTGGTGGAGGTCCTCACACTACTTAACAATCATAAACGTTTTCCAGAAACATGGACTGCAGAGAAAATAGCCCAGGAGTATTATCTTGACCTGAGAGATGTCAAATCCCTTCTCACGTTTTTTATTGCTTTTGATGTAAAGATCTTCCCTGCCAATAACAGAAAGAAGGCTATATCATCTAAGTGAAAGAAGCCATCAGAAGCATTTTCCACCATACTCCCTACATGTGCCCTTGTCCTATTCTTCACCTCCTGAATGCATTAAATTATGTTGTCATTTGGCTAAGTGATTACAGTAGTTCCCTCTTGGTGACTGAAAACTTTTATTTAATGAGCAGCTAATTGTGTCAGGCTGCTGCTGGCTGAGCAGGAAATGTTTTGACAGCATTTTGTTCTGCTGTATTCTATCATGTGTATATCCAGATGAGTGATGAGCTCAACATCAGTGTGTTGAAAGGCAGGCTGTTATTTTTAGGCATACCATGTGACCACTTCTGAAATGGTCACAGTGTCTTGGGATATGTCTGAGAGTCTCTATTTAAAATTAAAGAAAAAAATTTTTGTCTTCCAGTTCAGGTGGAAATTGCATTCTTCCCTGGGTTGATAAAAGAAGAGTCTTATGGCTGTGGCATTCAGCCTCAGAAGAGTGATACTTGAAAGAGTAATAAGATAGCAATTCCCAGGCAGAGCAAGAGAACAGAGAACCAAGATAAAAGTCAACAAAAAAGAGAAATATTATGCTTACAAAATTACCTTTTATGATTGCTCTATAGGATGGAAAAGAGGTTTAGAAATTTTGTCGACTGGATTTTTAACATGTAATTTTTGATTTCTAAATTTTGTTAGTGGGGACTCCAAAACCTGTGACAAGTGTTTAATTTTTAAGTATACAGAGTTTGGCTAAGGAAAAGATTTGGTGTGGCATGTAAGAGCAATACCTGAAAAGTAACCACATCTGGATTTAACCTATAATGATGAGAACTTTTTATTCTGGAAGGTGACCTGGATTCTAGGTCCCAGTCAAATATCTATGTGACCTTGGGAAACTCACTTAAGTGTCTGGGCCTCAGTTTGCACCTCTCTATAATAAAAGGGTTGGACTGGATAATCATCCCAATGACTGGCATATATAGAACACTTTAAGGTTTGTAGAGCACTGTCCATGTGTCATGAATAATAATATCCAAGGTCAGTTCCAGTTTCCTGATTCTGTCTGAAACTGGTCAAATTAAGGAACGGAATGAGGACCTGAAAGATGTTCTTGGACAATTTATTATAGTGGAAAGAGTGTTAAGAGTTGAGAGAGATCTGGGTCTGAATCCTACTTCTAACATTTATCTATGTGACTGTAGATGACTGATAACCTGCTTCATCTGTAGTTTCATCTGTAAAATGGAAGTTGTAATGTCGATCTCACAGGGTTTTTGTGAGGCCCAAATGAAATATAAAGTGCTTGGCAAACCTTATGGTGCAATATACAAATACCAGTTATTAATATTCTTTCTTAGTTTTGAAGCACTAAGTTAAGTTCAGTGGTCAAGTTCAATATTACTAGCTAACAATTATCTAATGATTTAAGGTCTGCAAACACTTTTTTACCTACATTTTTTCATTTCATAATCTCACCTATGATTTGAGGTAGGTGCTCTTATCCCTGTTTTACAGATGAGGAAGTTGAGGCTGAAAGAGTGTCTTTCCTAGGGTCACACAGCTAGTAAATGAGGCAGGTTTCAAACTCAAACCTGACTCCAAGTCCAGCACTCTGTCCGCTATAGTCACAGTGACTCTTAGGGAATGTATGTGGAGAGGAACACTAACCCTTTTGCGCTCGGGGATCCCTTCAAAATCTAACCAGAAATGATAGTTCTCCGATTCAGTTCACAGAATATTATCTGGAAGCAACTTAGAGATTTTCTAGCTCAAACCCTCATTTTTACAAATGAAAAAAACTGAAGCCCAGCAACTTAACAGTCCAGGGGTAGGTCTCTTGATTTCTAGGCCAGTTCCCATTATATGAAGAAGCCAAATGGAAGGGCAGGGGTGCTGTAGGGGCCAGTGAGCAAGTTACCAGAATCTTTGCCAACATTTATTAGGCTTCTGTTTTTATTTCATGGGGGTGATTTCCATCATGAATCCACAGAGATTCTTCAGGCACACAGTATGGAGGAAGCTTGGAAACTGGAGTTATCTTTTGGAGGCACAAAAGTAGTGCTAGGAAGAGGGAACCTGGATGCAAATTGGGAATTTTTGATAGAAACTTTCCAAGTGCATATTCCAAATAGCCCTTATTGCTACATTGTATTTGGCAAAAACAGTACTTATTTTCAAAAATAAGATAGCTGTAGCTATAAAAACTGCTTTTAAAAACTCATGTCATGGATTTATGCCAACCTTATTCTCTTCTCTTATTTTCATTGCCCATTCTGTTCTATATGAGCCAACCTGCAAATCTATAAATACAGCATTGGTTTATATGATGATTTCTTTCCAGGCAGCTATAAATACAGTTGTTGCTGCTATATGTTATATGATATGATATAATCAAAGTAGTTGCTTTATTATCTTTCTAATATCCATGGAGGGAGAGTAATGGTATGGACTTTGGTTGCCTTATGTTATTTCAGCAGCATGAGATATCTAACAGTACAGCAACTCACTACATCCTCAAATTTTTGTGATTCATTTGTGATTTGTGATTCATTTCCATTTAGCCTCAGATTCAGAACTGTAATGGCACCATTTTTTCTTTTCAGGCAGACACGATTGTAATTAAATTTTATCATGCACTGGTGATGAATACTGTGAAAGAAAGCAATAAAAACTGGCCATATTTAAGTAATCTAAAGGGATTAAAAGCAACTTTTTTCTCCCTTAGGATTGTTTTGAGAATTCTTTTATGCTTTATTTTTGGTCAGAGCACAACAAATCTTAGGTTTCTGGTTGGTGGAGTAGTTGGTGCCATATATTTTTGGTGCACTTATTACTAGGAGCTATAGAAAAGGTGTTTGTTCTTCCTGCTTACATGCTTTCAACTCCTAACATAATGCCAGACTGTGAAAAAGTGGTAGAAACTTACCTAAGGGTGGGTTCCTTGGAATTTTCAACTACCACTAACCTTTTCCGACTTCTGGCATATACCTGTTTCTTTTGGGGATAAAGTGTAGAGAATGGGGAGGCTATTATTACGTGTTACGTAGAACACGGAGAGAAGTCCTAGACTTTAGACCCATTCTATACGTGACTTAGGGAAATTTCAGCTAAGTGTACTCAGCTCTGATCTTTTCCAGAGGATTTTTCAAGATCCTAATTTGGTGCTTGCCCTATTTGAGGAAGCAGTATTCTACTCAATGTACTTCCTCCTTTAAAGCTAGAAAATTTGTCTTCTAAATGTTGGCATTCACTTCTAGTGAATTTTCTAAATTTTCTAACCCTAATCCTGTTTCGGAAGTATCAATAGAGACCAGCATAGCCAAAAACAGATGGAGGTTGTTTCTCCACTCCCCATAGTCCATACTTCCCCCTGCTAGTTCAATGTTGATGCCCCAGGGAAGTGAGTGATGCCCATAGGGGTGGTAATAATACCACCACCAACTCCACATCTTCCACTTCAAATGAATAATATGATACCATAGAATTTCAGATTTGGAAGTGATCTTAGAGATGATCAAGAACTCAATAATGTGTTGTCAACTAAGATTGACAAGAGGTGGCTAACAACCCAATAAACTAGTCCTTCCTGATAAAGATCATCCAATCTTTGCTTAATGAGAAGCTGGCAACTTTGTGAGGCCACTCCTTCCAATTTAAGCAAGTCTGAGTGTTTTTTTTTTTCCTTATATTGAGATGAAATCTGCCCTATAACATATACAAACATCTCATACCACATTAGCCTGGTTCTCTTATCTCTCTCTTCCTTCTCCATCTCTTTCTGTTCCCAAAAAACTCTTAATAATTCTTCTGCCATAGGAATCCTTAAAATATCTAAAAACAGATCATTTTACCCCTTAAGTTCACTATATCAGCCATCGCATCACACTGTAGCATATCAGCAATCATATCAGCCAATCGGGGCCCCTCACCATCTTAGCCTTCCTCTACTAGACATAACAGAATTTGTCACTGTTGCTCTTCATTGATGATACCCCAAATTGAACACAGTATGTGTTCCAGGTGTGCTTTGGCAGATGCAGCACAGTTTTTGGCACATAACAGGCACTCACTAAATGTTTACTGATTGATCTGGCTTGCACAAATTACCTCTCTTGGTATTGATACTGTGCCATTAATGTAGCTCAAGATTGAGTTAGCCTTTTTGATATTATGAAGAACTGAAGCTGCAGTAGTAATATCTAGTATTTATATAGTACTTTATATGTGCGTGTGGGTGTGTGTATACATACATACACAGAAACACCTACACATATGAGGGTGTCCTAAAAGTCAGTGCAGTTTTAAGGTTAACTAGTTTAAAACTACACCAAGACTTTTGGGATACCCTCTTACCTTATTTGAGTCTCTCAACAATTCTTCAAAGTAGGTCCCCATCCCCATGCACAGGATTACACAGCTAGTAAATGTCTTGAGTCAAGATTTGAACTTAGTCAAGTGAGCAGACATTTTTGTACTAGAAACTTGTGCTGAGTCCTGGGGATACAATTAGAAGCAAAAAGAAAGACAGCCTCTGTCCTCAAGGAGCTTACATTCTAATAGGGACCTGAAAATAAGGGGGTGAGAGAAAAGGTATCCATTCAGGGCATGCTGGCACAGTGTGAAGAATGTATAGCTGATCAAATCTTCCTCAAAATGGGGGTTCTGGGGGGAAATCACCAATGGGAGAAGGGATGGTGGGGCTTCCTGACTCCAAATCCAGTCCTCTATCCATTGCCACCTAACTATCCCAGAGACAGGAACATAGAGCCAAAGTTTGGTGGGACCCCAAAGACCATCTACTCCAATCCCTTCATTTCACAGATAAGGATCACAGAGGTGGGGGTGAGGGAGGGGGGAGGAAGGAGGGGAAGAAAAAAAAGGAAAAAATATACATGGTAATTTTATTATATATTTAAAAGGAATAGCAAGTTGTACATAATAGATTTGCATTTTCTAGAGCAATAATCTTTTTTAAATTCTGTGTTATGGAAATGCTTGTTTTATTTAACAAATTTAAAAGACAAAAAAAAGAAAGTTGTTCTCTTGGAAGTATTACCTAAAAAGAAGAGCATAGAGAACTTGATGGTGCTTGTATCACACAAAATAAATGGAAAATTCAGTATGAAAAAAAAGAAACTAC